TTAATATGGTCATTTGTATTTTGAGGCAATATCTTGCCTTGAAGATGCATTATGTTTTTTCAAGTCAAAAGGAAACAATGGCACAGCAGACGCCCTTTCAGGTGTGATATTCCACACTCAAAGTGATTGGCTGGAACGCAGAACGAAATAGTCTAAAGTCATAGATAGACTATTTTGCAAAATCATGAACATGATTTGGTGATTAAGGCCCAAGAACCCAGGACTTCCGTTTCGTTTTGTTTGTAGGCTAGTTATTTAACAATTTTTTTAGGAGAAAAGTTCTTTAGGATGTTATTATTAACTTCTTCTCTTTAGACTCCAAAATTTGACCCTACCTCGTTAATACAGCCACCCCGTTAATACGGCCAATTTTTGGTGGCTCGTTGGTGGCCGTACGGCCGTATTAACGGGGTTCCACTTTAAATAGCATGCGCACACCAAACTGCCATGAAATTAGTCCGTTCACATGTTCGACAACACATTACTGTGAAATGCATCAATTTTATATTGTGGAACTCCATTAATAGTAACTTTGATATGAATGAAAAATTTGGGTTTTGGGATAGGCCTAGTTCAATTGCAATGTTTAAACAAAAGGACTCGTTGACTTCAAGATGAAAAGTCTAGTTAAGAGAAAGCAGCGAATGTCTGTCTATAATGGACAATTTCTACTCTTGGACACTAGATTTAATAAAATTCATTAAAAGGCATACAATTTTTATACATTACCTATGAATGGCTTCTTTTGCAGCAGGGACAATAGGTTGCAACCAGTCATGAAATGATCCCGCTTGACTCAGAATTTTCCCAAGTTGTTCTTCTTGCAGCTTCCACGACTTTTGGAAAACTTCGTGAAGAAGATTACTTTTCCGAGCCATAATTATACTTTTTAGGTTTTTACACCACAACAAGAAAATGATATTCAACAATATCCATATGATGGAAAGGTATTTCAAAAGCACCAACACTAGCAGTTACAGCGATTCAGGTTTCCTGTAGGCCGCCAAAACATGTTACTGCAAATATAACCGAAACAAAGTTCAAATTTTGCCTCGTATACATGTGGCCAATCAGAACTATCGGATTGCAGACAGTGTCACTAGAGTTGGAAATTTACAACTGCTTGCCGCTGTGGTTGCTGATGTCAGGTTTCGCACGGAAAAGATTGAAATGGAAGGACAATAAATTGTGAAATACAAGAAAAATACAGTTTGTAAATAAGAGAGTAACAATGAAACTGTACTGGAGTGACTCTATCTTAACTTATATGCGGCAGGAAGTTTTGTTGCCTAGTTGGTTGGTCTGGTGGACCTCGTAGAACCTTGCTCGCTTAGACCACCAGATTTGTGATTTCAATATTTGTTATTTTGGCTATGCCTACAACCGGGCTGTGTGTAGTCTAGGTTGAATTCGGCTGTATTCGGAGTATTTCGGTCTTTGCATCGTACCAAGTCTCCAAAAATCTCTAGAGGAGCAAGTAATTTTGAGCAAGTTTGTATCGTAACTGAAAGTTTGCAACCTGGGTGCGATTAATATTTCTTAAGCTAACTGTCATCGTGAACTGTGAACTGAGTATTCTTACCCAGTGACAATGATTGCGCTTTTTGAGTGGTGAGGCAAGAGTGCAGTTCTATCCTGTTACTTATACCAAAATTTCAATATTTTAGGTAAATATCCTGAGCCATGTAAAATAGACTAGTATCTTTACCTGGCTGGAAAACTTGCATAAACCCTGAGATATTTTGTATCTGCAAATTTTTTGTACCTGCAGATTTTTTGTACCTGCAGACTTTTTGTGTTCAGCTTCTGACCTGCATTATTGATCAAATCATTTTTACTATAGTCAGAAAAGGTATAAGCATTATTGCTTACAGCCCAAATGATTTTACTAGCAGGTGACAGCTTATAGTTTGCCTGTTGCTTGCTGTTACGCATATAAAAACATCATGTTTACATGGAAAGACCCATTCTTGTGCCCAGTTTAGCATTCTCAGGGGATCTTCTTATAACTGGGACAACAAGATCAGCTTTATGCAGATATCCTCTGAATTGGTCTAAGAATTTAACTAAGGTTGCCAGAAACATGCCATAAATCAGGGCTACTGACACAGGGGGGTTCATGACCTCCCCACTTTTCCCTAAACAAAGGCTAGGAATCAGCTTAAAGTATTTATGTTAGATAAATCTTTAGATTGCAACAAATACACTACCAGGACAATACCTGCAAAGGCGATTAATGGCAGATGATCCAACTACTTTTGTTGTTGCCTGATTAAACTATGGTTTAATCACTTTTAATTGCCCTAACTTTTAATTAATCAAACATCTTGTGGAGAATTACTGGCTCTAATAAGTGCAGAAAATTGCTTTGGAATCGATGCACAAAATTTGTTGATGAAATCCACTTGGATCCTCCTTCACTATCAATAACATCTCTAAGTCAGTTCTTTCTTGGACATTGAAGAATCTCATGGCTTACAAATCAGATAATTTTTATTGACAACAAGAAATATTTCCTTATATTTAGGTTAGGTCTTTGTGAAGGCTGAGGGAGGACATAGACCTTGCAGATTTTCAGGTAAATTTGAGTAAAAATGGCCTTGTAAGGGGGATGTATTGCTTTTTATGAAAAATACTCCCTAGCATTGCATTGATTCCCCCAAAGAAGTATTGCATTATTTTGACATTTTCATAGCATTAAGTTGCATATTGCTTGTTAAAGATTAACCAAGTTATGGGCTTAACTGTAGCCAAAAGGTTACCCAAGTTGAGTTGAAGAATTTTAGAGCTCAAAAACTCAGGACAAATGACTTTCATTTTTGTTTCCTCAATTTTACTTATTTGCTATCATTTCCTATAAAAAGTTTTGAAATCATTTATACAAAAGACCATTTAAATTGAGTTTTATCCTGTTAATATTTTGGTTTTAACAACTGAAATATTGTCTCTTATAACTATAACTTCTTATGTTAGTAAAGTATTTTGAAAAATCTTCAATAATTCAAAGAAATTCATTACCAGTTTTAGCACGATTTAGAAGGCCAGTGCAGATAATGTCACAAGTATTGGATTCCTGCATACACTATTTCAAAACATATCAATGTTATTTAAACCACACCTTTCTTGCCGCCAGGAATCGCCTTTCTACCAACAAGGAAATCTTTGAAAATCTTATTAAATATGTAAGTTGCAGGCGTGGATCCAGCCAAAATTTTGACTGGTTCAGGGTGTTTTTCCTGGTTACGGTTCTGTATTGTTGGTCCATAAATATGTGCAAAAAGTTGCTATTGAGTTAGTATAATGTGATTAATTTGCCCAACTTTGTCTAAATTGCCGCAATTTACTTTGTCCATTTGATCCTCTTCTCAGAGACGGGAGGCAGGGGGACTGAAAATGAACCTGGGAGGAGAGCTGAGAATAAAGTTTAGTGAAATATGAGACCCACCATGGTTGGGTCCGACGCGAAAGAAATTTTTTTTGAAATTTAGCCTTCTAGAATGGCTAAAGATTCATCTCCCTTACTAAAATTTAACAAATTACTACAACCCTCTCAGAACAGAGAATTCGACGATCTTAAAGAAACTGCTTCTTGCTTTTTATGACAAAATTGGAAGGGGCGGAGTCATGCTAAAACGTTAGTGACAGAGGTAAGAAAGAAAGGGTGACCTTTGGCTCAAAGTGCACATCGATGTGAATAACAAGAAGCTGTTGTATTGATTGAGAGAATTTTAATTCCTGAACAGAAATGTGCATCTACTTTGTCTCGATATTTTCAGTAGGCATGTTAACACATCTACAATGCAGACATTGCAATGATGCAAAAGTTATCTACTGAAACGGTGCAAATAATAGACAATTAGATAAATATACCTCAATAAGTTAGTAAATAGATCAAATTAAATCAAGCAGTATATAAACAGTTTTTTCTCTTTTTATTTCATATGATATAGAAAAGACGTTCAGGAAATTTTATCTCTGAGAAAGTGAGGCCCTCCCTCCAGTGCCCCCTCCAGTGCCCCCCTCTAGCAATTTCCGATTCTAATTTTCATGCATTTTTGAAAGCGAAAGTCTAGCCACACAATACAGACGTAAGATTCTAATTTGCATCTGTATTTCATTTTGTATCAAAGCGGTATCGAAATATGCTTTCTAGTCACCGGTTTTTTTCGCGTAAGGGAAACATATGGGCACCGGTTTTCACAGGTTTTTAGAAAACAATAACCACCGGTTTCAATATTGGCGCATAGATAGCATCTCTAAATTGTCACTGTGATTTCTCCGATTTTGAATTCCTCGGATACTTTTGAATAAAAGATGAATCAGGAAGCTGGGAACTCTGTCGGAATCTTTCAACAAGGGGTTGCTGTTGTGTGGAGTTTCAATTTGGTAGGTAAAAACTGTAGTAAGTCTGGGAGAGATGCAGCAATTGTTGCAATTAAAATTTCAGATAAAATTCAAGATTTACAGAGAAACTCAGAATTTGAACCGGTTTTTTTAAACCTGTGCAACGCGTCTGGCTCCGCGCCTGCGATGCGTGTGGTACACAAAGAACTTCTTTCACCATTAAACACAAATTTTATCTAAACAGAGCGCTATTACTACATTTTTGTTACGTAAAGGCAGTTTCAAATTATAGGATTGCATCATAAAAAAGTACCTTGCCAGAAAATAACCCTTGTTTCTTGTGACTGGGGTTCCTTTGATGAAAGGTGGTTGTTTAGTTCCGTTATTGCCTTATGTTTTAGTTCATATTTGAAATTGTGAATGTCTTAGCGTTTTTACAGTATTCGGCAGAGCATTCAATACCTCCGGCCCTCTAAAACTCAAATTATTTCTCTCAAACCTTGATCTTAGTCTTTTTGTGTACATATACCCAAGTTGTCCCAGCTGGCCACCTCTAAAACACTGCAGCCCACATCTGAATTTTCCAAATCTTATGGAAAATTGATTTCAGTCAATACTTCTATTCGCTTAACTGTCATCTAGTCAACAAACATCTGCTTACTTAATTGTTTGGTTTGACAATGGAAAATATGGACACTAATGTTTATTATTTGCTTAGTGTGTCAAAACTTATTTAAAACAGTTATTTTTTAATAAGGTAAACCGTTGGTACCTAAAATAATTCATTGATATTCTCAGAGGAATTTTGGGGTAGCTATTGATTGCACTCCCAGTAAATTCGAAATGGGAGCAACATCGAATCAAATTTCTCAAATATTTTTGTTATGCAAAAGCTCTTTTGAGCATAAGTTTAAAGAGTTTTGTAAATTCAAAATGTAAAGAAAGGATCCGCAGCAATCTCCAATTTTGAAACATTCTTGGCTAAATCCCAAAAACTTTTCATCTTGAGCTTTTTAACTGAAAAACACGTTTTGCAGGCACGTTAGATAAATTGTATTTTGAAGCTGACAGAATTTTACCGGCCCTGCCTTACTAAGAACTTTTCAAAATTTAGCTGAAATGGAAATATAATATGATTAACTTAGATGGAACTATACTGTATGAGAGAGTTGAAGAGTTAGGAATGACGTAACAGCTTATTGTAGGAAAAAGGTCTGCTTAACTTTTTTGAGCAGGTGCAACCAAGAAGGTGACAAGAATCTTGTCACAAGAGCACTCATCTGGAACAAATTGGAGACAAACAGGTATGACAGGCTTGTCTTTACTACTCCTTTCGACCAACCATCGTTTAGTTAAAATCGTAAACATACTAATAAAGGTCAAATATATCATAGCAGTTCTGCGAAAAAAAGAGTCATTTTTTAACTCACTGGAGATTCACGTAAGTTTTTATCTTGTAATTCTATCATGGTAAGCATGTTTTGCTTGCATATACTAAGCTTATAGTTGTTATTTAGTCTTTGTTTTATAGTAATCAGGTTGTTAATATTAGCTCTGATAACGAATGTAGTTATCTTTTCCATTAATTTTTCAACCAACGTAGTTAAACGAAGCAAGATATGAAAAAACAATTTTAATTCTCATTAATTTTCAAACCCATCGTAACTTATTTCAATTGTCTATTTCAGATCTAGCTTCAGATAATTTAAATTTTTTGAATAAATAGAAAATATTTGTGGAAAAATATTTTAATAGAAAGCTTTGTGTTCCGCAAAAAGAAATGTATTACTTCTATCAATTATATTTAACGTATTTTCGACTTTCATTTCCTTGCAATCTGAGTTGATCATTTTCAAATCTTTATTTGTTGGAAGCTGCCAGCTCAAATGGTCAAAACTGAATTTTCTTTGCTTCGTTTTTCACACACCAGCTGAAGTTTGATTCTACCTAACTTAAGATTGATTTTCCAAGCAACCTTTGACAGAATTACATATCAAGTGTTCAAGCAACTTTGATAGAATTTAGAATGATAAATCTATTAAAACACTACAACCATCTTTCTTAGAAGAGTGTAGAATCAACCTTCAAAATTGGTCAAAAATGTGGCGACATTAATGCTAAGTTGTTTTTCATATCTATATGTTACTAATTGCACTTATCCAGACAAGCTTTTGCATTTTTTGTATTATAAATCAAAGAGGGAATATTTGTACAGTATTTTTTTTATCTAGGATGGTGTCAGGATGGTTGGTGACAATTTTCGTTCTCTGTGTCTTCACCATAATGACTGGTGGAGAGAGCAACGTAAGACGTCAACGCTCACCAGGTTGTAAGTCTGTTCGATGGTCAATTATTGTAAATACCAGTCTGTTTGTAGTTTCAGCAGGCTATCAAATGAGTCATTAATACTGTCATAAACGTGTTTAGAAATAATCTGCTATTTGTCAAATCAAACCCTTGAAACAATAAGGCTACTTTTTGAAAAAACACTTTTTGTTAGGCTGCAATAAGAGCGAATGATGTGAATAATGCTGCTAATTTTTCAAAAATGCTTTTATGAATGATGTGTGAGACAGACAAGTGTTGAAGCAGACGACCCTTCAACAACTTATGCTTTTTATAGATCAATCTAAGAAAAATAATATCTCAAAAGGCCAAGCTAAAATTTCATCTACCATAACCATACTCATTATGAAAACATTGTTTATTTTACCATTGACGTCTTCTGATCAACTTCAGTTCTTCAAAGTGCTGATAGGAGATTGATGGTCATATCAACATTTCGTGTAATCTAATTCTTAAAATCGTAATTAAAGCCAGAAAAGGCAGCATTCCTTTACTTATCCTTTATTGACTTACATAAGAATCATTGTTGACTTCGAAAAACTTTATTTCAAAATTAAACTGTATTTTGATTGTTGAATTTTTTTAATTGGCCAAGGCTGATTGGCTTTTCATCAGTTGCTTAGCTTATTAATGAAAACATCAATATATCTCTTTCTCTTTACTACTCGTGACGATATGTGGCTTTTTAGCGTTAGTTTTTGTCGCCTATATTCTGTTCACATTAACTTCGTGGCTTCCGCTGCTTAACCTTTGTGCAATTAGATAGTAAACACGTCAGCTAATGACAACCTTTTACGTAAATTAAGCTCTGTTGACGATAAAACATCGCAAGAGGAAACTTGAATATTATTCATTGATATATGAATGTATGCAGTTGTTTTCTTTCAGACAATGAAAAAAAAACAATATCTATGGTGATATTGTCTACCCAGTTTAAGCCTATAAAGAATTGAACTGGATCATCTTTTGTAAAATTTCATCAGCAGGCCTTGTCACACATTTTTGAGGATCTTGTGCTATTAGGCTGTGTAGGTAGTGAAAAGAAAACCTGGTAAGAAATGTTAATTCCGATTAATAACTATGACCCAGTTAACTATCGCCTTGTAATTCTACAGCAAATTGAATTTTTTGTTTCAGATTTCCCTTCTTTCAGTGAAGTTGCGAGCAACAAACCGAATAATTTTCGGATAAAAAACACAGATTGTGTATTAAGCTGAAAAGAGGCCAATGTGAAATGGTATATTTGGTCAGCAGCGGCAGTGTCAACTAAAATCTACTTTATATCAGCTTTTTCATGACGTTGACATAGCACTCAGCACTAGCAACTTTATTGTCCTGAAAAAATTTATTGTTCAAAAATTAAAGATAAATGGATGCCAAAGAAATAAATGAAGAATGGAAGATCACATTCAAAGCCAAATCTTCTGAATCGTTGGAACTTCTGCCGCGGCTGTTGACTCTAGGAACAGGAAGTTCCCTAACATTAAAGTGGATTGCTACCAAAAAAAATTGCTCCTGAGGCGCTTGCAGTTGCTTTGAAGGGACGCACTACACTTGGTAAGTACTGGTAAGGTGGGAAATTCATGTTTTAGAAAAATTAGGGCAAAGAACATTGGGACAGGCGAGGACAGGGGGCACACCCCTCTCAGTTTTCAAAAACAGAATCCAAAACGTGCACTCTCCCTCTTTTGAAAAGCTTTCTACGTCTATGAGAAGATTTCTTCTATGTAAACCAATCCTTTCTGCAAGAACCGGAACCTATTTTATTTCTGTGTGATTATTTCTTGCAAAGTTTGCTGGGTCTTTAAGAAATAGCTACATTTCTTCATTTCAAGAAACTCAAATGAGAGAAAGATAACCTGGTTTCTTTCAATGTAACAAATGTCCTTGTTTTAGTAGTTCGTTAGCTTATGTTCTTTTTACCTTTTACTGATAATAATTTTACCGTACGATACTTAAATGTACTTGACATTCTCAAATACAGGCAACGAACAAGTTGAAATGAAAGTGGAGAAGGACAGTGGTGTTGACTACGAGTTGAATTTTAAAATGGGGAGTTTAAGAGTAGATAAATTTTTTGCCGCTTTTCAAATCAGCATTGAGGACGATAGCTCCAGAATTAGCCACCGAGAAAAACACCTTGGGCTCAACTTGTTGACGATTAAAAACCGAAATTCGAAGGAATGTTTTCTCCTAGTGCGGGTTTGAAATCACTGCAACGGGGAGAATTTCAGCTCCTGATCTCGCTGCTGATGCATCACAGCTCTATGTATTTGTACAGATGATGTGAAAAGTTCAGGTTCTACGACAGATAGCTTTGAAAAACCAAGCGAGGAATCTTTGCATTGTATGAAAGTTAGTGTATGTTTTTCTATAATTTTGTCTTGAATTTGTCATCATACTCTTTTAAAAGAAACTCGAGTTTTTATAGATCAAAGGCTTAAATTTTTAATGCGCCGAAAAGTGTTCTACTATAGGTTTACATTTTTTTGCAACTTGCATCTAAAACCAATGCAACAGATTAATGCTGTAAGAAATACTTTTAGGAAGTTCATTTCTTAGTATAACATTTCCTACATTTCATATTTTTATCACTTTTTTGATTTTAAGAAAACTTTCTAGCAGGAAAGATTTCAAATTTATACAGTACGCAAATACTTTTCATACAAATCTTCGTAAATAATAATTTAATTTGATGTAGATTAGCCTTGAAATGCATCAACATATCCAACCATCACCATTTCTTGTTTTCCGATTCCATCCTTCTAGACAGGTCTCATAAAAATCGGTCAAAGTTCTATAAACGGTTTTAGGGTCAAATTTCACTTGGGGACTTAGGGATTTTTTTCCTTATTTTCAAAATGGCGGATCAGTTGTAAAATGGCAGATTTTTTGCTAAAATGTAGGTATTAAAATAGGTTTATGTTATGGCCATATCAAAGGCAGGTTTTGGATGTTTTCAAGGTTTTCAATCTATTAACCTTTATCTTTCATGATGGTGGAATTAATTCAAATTGGCGGATTTTCAACATCGATCCAAATTTATCTACAATCTGTGAATGAAGTATTTGAATACAATTTTTTATAATGTGCTTTAGGTCACGATATCAGATAAAATTCATTAAAGTTTTTTGGGCATTCTCTCAACAAGATCTAATCTAACCAATGATATGTTCCTTCTGCCAACAAGACAAATGTATTTTTTATGCAAATCATTATGATGTTCACTATTAGTGAAAGTTTCTGAAACTGCTTTCTGAATCCCAGTCATCATCGTCATCATTTTCTTCCTCTTCGTTTTCAATTTCATCTTCTGACGTCATGGCAGCAAATAAACTTCCGATCTCTAGACTCAGTCTTTCTGCTTCTTTTGTTCTTCTTCGTTTTTTCTTGCGGTTACTGTCTAACTTGTGACCTAATCGGCCCTTTGGGACTGAAAACAAATTTAGTCTAGAAATCTAATCAGGAAGACCAATCAACGATAAGATAGAATGGATATCATGTTGTTAAAGCTTATCTATGAGCAACTAGAATAAATTTCTTTGTAGCAATAAATATAAAACTTGGTTTCTAAAAAACTGAATGCGTAACCATCCCAGGTAATTTTACGGAGAATCGTCCTCACAACTGCCTTACCATCCACGATCCAAAGCTTCGTCCCTGTTTCTGGCTGTGTTTCAAAGCATCTACAACTTCAGTTAAGTGATTTCTTACTGAAGCCTTTGAAACTTGTCTAAGTGAATCATCTGGCGATGCTAGCTATTGCACCTAGAGCTTGCTGATCGTTCACCGGGCTGCTTAAAATCTGTGCAACTTTCTATGCTTTCTCTAGACCTGTTTTTAGTTTGGGGTTAAGCATCCTTTCGAAAATGCTGACTCTGTCATCAACTTCTACTTTTTTCAGCCTTTTCTGGACAAATTCTTTGAACATTTCATTTCCCATTTGGGCTTCATCCCCCTTTCGGCTGCTAGATGCTGCTCAATAGAATTTTTCCTTACTGAACTTATTAGCTATAGCATTGTCGATGCATCCGGTATTACTCCACAAACTTCTTTTCTTGCATTTTATTATGGTTTGATAACGCACTTCCGAAAAGGAACTGAAAAGCAGGTTGTGCCAAAGCTGATGCAAGCGTTGCTGGTAACTGATTTTCTTGTCAATCTGCAACTGATTGCTTCAAATAATTGCCAGTAGCGTGTAAATTGGTTTACTGCTTTATTCTAAAATACAAGAGCTATTTTCCATTTCAAGTATTTAAAGGCGGTAGCCCTTCAGCAGTGCTGATTTTCAAGGGACCTTAATTTAAGCAAATACAAAATTATCAAATTGGAAATTGGTTTTCAAACGATTGCTTGTTGGGTTTAACACTAAGATGTTAGTAACCGCCATTCATGGCCTTGTTTTGGATCCTTCAGCTATGATTCCTGCGCCAATCCCCAAACATAAGGCAAGTCAACTTCTCCCTTAACAATATCAAGGTTACCAGGATTTTCCGAAATCCTTCCTTGATTATGACAATCTTGTCATGTTTGTCTTCATGTAGCCAAGGAATGATGTGCACTTTGGAACTGATGCCTTCGTCTGCATGGAAAAAGGTATGATTGATTTCGAGATCGTCTACCATTTGCAATATTGCGTTCATGTGTCACTTAATGACATTATCGTTCGGCGGCAAAGGTACGACGGGGACCTAAGTTACACTAATTATTAACAAGACTTGTTGTCTTCTTCGTGAAACATGTCCGTAATTCATTTTCATCCATTACGAATCAGTCACAATTTTCAGACAAAATTGGATCAGGGCAAGGAGTCTTTTTAGAAATTGTCAATTCGGAAAATCAGCCATTTTGAATTAATGCCACCATTATGAAAGATGATGGCTATTAGACACTTTTTAAAGATTGTTTACAAAAAGTAAATATGCATTTACTTGAAAACATCAAAAATCTGCATTTGATATGAGCATAAACCTATTTTTATTCCTACACTTTTGCTAAAAATCCGCCATTTTGCAATCGAGCTGCCATTTTGAAAATAAAAGAAAAATTGAAGTCCCCAAGTGAAATTTGATTCCGCAATGTCTAACGACCCTAAACCTTTTCTCAGAACTTTGACTGGGAAATTTTTCCGATTTTTCTGGTAGGAGACTTGTCTATTCCAAATGCCGCCGAGTAGTAATTTTCCTTTAAGAAGGCATTTTTCATATCCAGATGAGAATGTGCAAAACACCATCATGTCACTTACGGGCATTCCAGTACCGAAGATTGCTATTTTTGAAAACGTTAACAAAGTAGCAATTACTGCAGCAACAAATCAAATTTACAACGTCAATTCAAAGAACCTTAACCGTCTAGTTGGCGACTTTGTTCCAGTCGAAGGTTTCGATGTTTTGCCAAAGGGACTCAACGTACTGCATTATGCACCAAATTCAAATCAAGACATAAAAAATAAACAAAATAAGGTAAAACGTTTTTTGATAATAAGGTTTTGGCTTTTTGTTGTCTATTTTCTATTTTGGATAGTTTTTTGTCTATTTTCAGATGCTATCAGTACAATCATTTCCTAGTGGCACGGCACTGACAGTAGACTGAATTGCACCACTCCAATTCGATCACGATAATCTTAAATTTTCGGCGTGACAAGTTTTCGGACAAAAATTTGTCTGAAAATTTAATTGTACGAAATATACAGTTGTCCAAAAGTTTGCCACGCCGAAAATTTTTACATGAATTGCCATGCACAATGAGAATGGACAGGACCAGCGGAAATAAAGTGAAAATGTATTCCCATTACAAAACAAACCGAAACGAAAGGTTACAATCTTTGAACACGAGTAGGTCAGTCAACTTAGCAAGTTTCGTAAAGCGGCTGCTCTTCCAAGCAAATAGAAATACTAGTCCATAAAAATAATATCATTTTTCTTATCGTTTATCAAAGTAAACGTCAATAAAGGGTCGACACTAGAAGTTTCTTAGCAATATCACATTTTCAGTACTCGGAGTTTCTTTAAAAATTGTCAAAAGATCGATAGCACCGTAAGAAATATTTGTGAATCAATAAGCTGACGTACATGACGTGGCTTGCTTTAAAAAACTAGAAGACTGCCGAAAGTTTATTTGTTCAAAATGTCAAAAATGTGCCAAAAGATATTTTTGCCGAAGCATATTGCCCGGAATTTTCCCGCTGAAAGTTGTCGTATTTAATATATTAACAGCAGGCTGCGTGTAGGAACGTTTAAAACTTATGCATGCTCATCTTTTTTCAGGTAGCTGAAAAGGTTTTGTTTCGTTGTGAGATTGGCAACAGCAATCTGAAGTGGACCTCTCCCCAAAAAATAGAGTCCCACCTAGTGAAATTCACTAGTCTCGTTTGGAGTGCTCCAAAGGGAGTGATGTCCCTTCGACTGAAACCAGATACAAATGGAATCTTTGATGGGATTGATTACCATAAAAATACCAAGACTGTGCAGGTCCATTTCAATCTGACACAACGTGTGCCCGTCTTGCAAAATGGTCTTGTAAGTTTGCTCAGTACAACAATAACATTGTATACATTGCACAACGGACGGGATGGATACAACGGCTGGCTATTGAAAGGAACTGGGAAGGAAACAATTTTAGGTAGGTAGTGATGCCTTTTGAGCGAAACCTCAATCAACTATCCTATCAAAATAACGACAGATAATGCTGATCCTAAAATTTTCCTTGCTGTGGTAAAAGCTTTCTACCATGTAGCCCAGTGATAATAGACACCTCCCTAAGATGGACTGTAGCATTGGCCACAGTCATATGAATCTAGATATCAGAAGAAATCGAGAGAGGTTTTCAAAGTTCTCTATTCGCTATAGGATCTGATTTTTATACATTTTCTCTCATTGTAGCATTGTTACTTTGACAATTCTATAATCTAATTATTTCGTTTGTTTTGACGTTTTGGTCATTGCCTTTGGTTTTAAAATCGTCAATGTTTTTCGTAATATAGATGAACTGGTCGATGTTCGTGTAAACCAGAGAGAGCACCGAACAAATGTCAAAGCTAAAGCTAACATATTCGACATGGAAACGCTGAGAAACAGAACCAAAGCCGAATGTCTTAAACCAGCACTACGCAAAGCCTTTCTCTTTCCTCAAATCTTTCCCATTAATAATCTTGGATTTGAAGCCTCATTCGAGTTTAATAAAGTTTTGAAGTGAGTTTTCTTCTTCTTTTTCAAAACATTTTTTATCGATTTGAAAGATTCCTACTTCAAAATACTTACCGTAAAGTCTCTACAAACTCTCCCTCTCCATTAAGCCTTTACTCATCGAGCAAAAATTTGAATTGTTTATGTTACATATAAGCCTTCTTTTCCAGTAAATCACATTTGGTGATTGTCAAGCCGGAGTATTGGAGAGGCATATCAATATTAGATTATCTCGAGCAGGCCCATATTATCTCGAGCAGGCCCGTTTACACGATGCCGGATAACTTTTGATCCGGATAAAAAGTTATACAGATAGATCGAGTTTAAACGGTGTCGTACAACTTTTGATCCGGCTAGACTTTCCGTTTACACCTGTATGGATACAGCAGAGTTTTCCAAACGAATGGCTTCAGTTCAAGATAAAGATTTATGAAACTCCCTTTGCACATTCGCAATCCATTCTGCTGGCACAATATCATTGATAAAATTATCCCACTAAGTTTTTTGTCCAGACCTTTGCTTATTTTAGGCAGGGCATTCCTCTCAACCATCGACCGCATTGCCTAACCTTTGTTTTCTCGGCTGATTATGGAACAATATGGTATAACGAATAATTTAAGCCCTTACAACATTTTCAAAAATTCATCAAAGTCACGTTACCGATGACGTCAAAAAGCTCTGTTTCCTAGACTGAAAATCATTGTAACTTCTCAAGTATACGTCTGACTTCAATATAAATGCTAGATTCGGGCTCGCCTGAACGGAAGCTTTCTAATGATATATACACATCACTATTTTAACGATGTCAGCAATTTTCAATGATGACGTCATCACTTTCAAAATGGCCGTC